AAACACAAACAAGTCTCAGTAACAGCCAATTAAGCATCAAGCCCACTTCCATTAGGTGAAAGAGGAATTTTGTAGTAATCTTATAATTACATTTTAGGCAGGGGCAGAGATAGAAGAAGCAATGTTGTTCGGCAAAATCAATCTTACTTCTCAGACCAAGCAAGTCAGTTGCTTTTTAATAAAAGACTTCGGTTCTAAAACAAGTGGATTGGACTGGTCTCTTTCTGAGGTCATTAACACTCATGACAGCATTCAACGGGAGAGCAAAAATGTTAGGACAAGATGAAATTTAAGTCCACCTGGACCACTGATTTTTTATTGCCAGTATCTATCATGTACAAATGATCTCTCACAGTGGTATTGGTCAACACAATCTTACTTTGGGGAGCAGGATGTTACATTATTTAGTGCAAGATGCTTGTTTATCTGATGTCAGAATACTGCATGCAGCTTTTTCTAGGTTTTACTGTGAAGACCAAGAACAGTTCAAGTCTGAGGGCTACTCTGTTTCTTTTATTGCTGAAAACAATTATGTGAGGACTGTTAATGTGAAGGTGATCTTCTGTTTGGGAACGTCCATGAGACCTCAAATAAAAGGCTGCTAACACTAGTTAATGAATCTATAGTATGCTCAAAGTAGTTGTGTGATGTGAGCGTGTTTCCTAAAGGTTGTGTAAAACCTGCCTAAAGTATTTTCAGGGGGATGGAGGTGTGGATGCACTAAAAAGCATACAGCACTTTTTGAACCCTAGTCAAATCCAACTTCAAATGGAAGTAGGCTTAAAGGTTCACCGTATTTTATATGTGAAATTTTTATAAATAAATGTGGTCAGACATGCAGATAATTTAAATCCTACATTTAATGCTTTGCTGGTCTCTTTACAGACATTTCGGAAATAGAGTCAAACAGATCATTCTCCCCTCAAGATGACAGATTACATCATTCTGATCTAGATTCACATTCATCCAATGAAAAGCTGAAAGAGAAACCGAAGTAAGAAATGGTCATTTCTAGTCCATTTTTCTAATGCTAGTTAAAGAAAATCTTAAAATACCTGGCATTCTTATCTGATTTCACTACATTTTTTTTCTTTTTATTTCTTTTAGTGCAAAAGATGATCCATCTAGTAGGATGTCCAGAATGGGAGCAATGCCTACACCATTCACATCAACCGGTGACATTGCTACTTCTGCTGTTACAGTTGTAGAGACAAACAAAGAACTGAAGTATCAAGATGACCCAGCAGGTCAGAGTTTGAAGTTTCTGGTTGATTTTTTTTTTTTCCCCTGACCACAGAATGTCTAATCCCCCAGTCATGTTGACATTTCTAGTATACTCTTCATATCAATCCCATCCTGACGCACCAGGAAGAGAGGTCTGTCTTTTCCTTTGAGGTGCAGAGAGAGAAGTACCTGAGATTTTTTGAAAGCAGTTGCTTATTAGAATTGTGACCTCAAAAAGCAAGTACTTTTCTAGAGCATCTGCTGTAGCCTATTGCCATGAGCAGCCAAATGAAACTATTCTTGAAGTCTGATCTGGTTTACCTTAAAGAGTTGTGTATCCCTCCCTTGACCTTTTTATTCTTTTCAAGAATTGGAAAATTAAAAAAAAGGACGTAAATCAATTCTAGTCAAAAAGATGCCTGATATTTAAATCTGTATTAATCTTTGTCATGGAGGAGTTTGATTGCTATCTGACAGCTAAAAATTGCTGCCATTTATAACTTTTTGTTAGCTCAGTAACTTCTGTTGCTTTTTTACATGTAGTGTCTCAACCAAAAGCAGTTACAAGAACAATTCTTAAACCCAGCCCTGAGGATGAAGCAATATATGGGTAAGGCGGCACTTGCTGTTATTTTTTTGCACTCAGTGTTCTTGCAGTGACCTGTACCTGGTTCTCAGTTGCTTGGGTTTGGGGTTTTTTTTGCCCATTTGCAGTGATACTCCCTTTATAGCTTAATGACAGGAAGAAATGACATCGCTTCTAACTGTCCGTATTTGAGTTAAGCTTAGTTTTGGAAGTACCTTCCTGGAAGGTGTAGACTTGCCTCCTACTTGGAAGGTATCATGAACACCTTGTGTTTCTGGGCTTGCATGGGAACATATGCAATGGTATATTTTTATATTTTTATTCTGCTCTATTTGTCACTTTGAGATAGTGTTTGAAGTACTGTGTCCATTCTGGGGCTCCTCAGGACAAGAAAGACATCGACACACTGGAGTGAATCTAGGGAGTTGGTGGCTGCGGCATAAGACACATGAGAAAAGACCAAGAAAACAGGTTTTGTTAAACCTGGAGGAGAGATGATTGAAGGGACATATTATTGCTATCCGCAGTGACCTAATGGCTAGAAGGTACAGAGAAAACTGAGGGGTGATAGGACAAAAAGCAAGTGACACAAGCAGGAGCACAGGAAATGCTGGTTTGATACGAAGTACAAAAGTTTTTATTAATAGGGTGTTTAACCACTGGATCAGTTTTCTCTTCTAGGTTGTGGTATCTCTTACCACCACAGATACTCAAAAACATAACTGATCAAGGCCCCGATCAACCTGCTTTGAGCAGAGGGCCATTCTAACCTGTGCAATTCTATGGAAATGTATTTTACACTTCTTATTTTATAGGTATACAAAAGATAATCCTGCCCTTCCCCACAATATTAAGATACAAAGAAAATATCTTCTAATTTGTTAATAAGCTTGTTGCAAGACAAGGCCAGACATATGTCATTTCTGTATGAGCTGAAAACATCTTACAGAAATTTATGTCTTTTCTTCAAATACAAACCTGTGCAGTCCATATTGCAGTTCTAGTCTCTGCTTAGAAATGAACAAAATATTGCTTCCAGAGTTTATTTTTGTGTGGATTTTTTGAATTATTTTTGTGAGTAATCAAATGAAACCTGTTACTGTTGATTCTTTAACAACTAAGATACTAGAAATTTCAAACTGTATGAATAGGAAATCAGTTTATATGTTTTCTCTGGAGAGTTTTTAAATACAGAAGTTGAAGGGAGAGAAGCACTGAGATTATAAAGAGAAGCCTAAAAATAAGATTTTGAATGCATTCTGTAGCTTGGAGTGTTTTCTCAGATGGATTCTCTTCTCAGGTCTTTTCTGGGTTGGACCCTGCATATTTTGTCATTGATGTGGAAATTAATCAAGTTATTATTTTGGTGAAGGGGTATTTATAATACAGGCTTAGGGTATTACTGAGAAAGGCTGGCAGATAAGCACTGTCCTCTGTGTTGGAAGGTCACTCAGGCATACAGCTTTTCTGACAGCAAAGAAGCTGAACCTGGTCCAGCTCTCCCACTGCAGTATTAAAGGACTGATTGTTAACATACTAGTAGAGTATTTTTGGAAATATTTCTCAGTACAAGAAAACTTGGAAGACATGTTTTGCAAACAAGCTAAACTGCAAAGAAAATAAATATACATTTAATTCATATGACAGTTCTCAAGCATACAGAGGAAAAAACAAGGATTATGATTACTTACAACTCAGACTGTTTATGCAAAAAACCCAACTGCTCATCTGAGAGAGGATCCTATAGGTAGGAAACTATTTTGGGACTTCAAGAACAGGGAGTTGTTTTCCTGCTCTGTCAAATCTGTGTATGTTATTTAGTCACTCTTCCTAGTTCAGTTTCTACTCTGAAAAATGCAAATTCTCTGCTTCTTTCCTACACTGAAGAGTTACCTGGGTAAATATACCCTATAGCCAAGCAAAAGAAAGGGGCTAAGAATATTATTAGTACGATTTTGCTGAAAGGGTTGCAATTTTTTTCTCTTGACAACCTGTTATTGTCACATGCCTAACATCTGGCCTTACTTCATTTTTCTATATGTAAATCTTGTAGTCCTAATACAAAAATGGTGAGATTCAAGAAAGGGGACAGCGTGGGTCTACGACTGGCTGGTGGAAATGATGTAGGGATATTTATTGCTGGAATTCAAGAAGGCACTTCAGCTGATCAGGAGGGACTGCAGGAGGGAGATCAGATTCTTAAGGTATGTGTAAAAGCATGTGCCCATGAAATGCAAATTACATTAGTATTTTTTGTTTGCTGCTCAGTGGAAATAGGGAAGAATTTCTGATCTTAGGAAGTCAAATTATTGCTTTGGAAGTGTGTATGTGTGGTGGAGGATCTTAATAAAATTGAGTATTTGAAGGACAATTGTATATCGAGCTTTAGTTTGTTTCTGTGGAAGTGGTAGGTAGGAAAAATATTAATCAAGAAAAATGCCTGAAGATGGAAGAATAAATTTTCTCTACAATGCTTCTTCCTAGTCTTGGAAGGGGAAGAAATTGTGTCCAGCATATTTTTCTTCTTTCATCTCTCTCCAGTTTTCTTGGGTAACAGTGATCTATTTTTCCAGTTTCTGAATTATATCATCTATGCCAATTTGTTCTCTTACTTTCTCTCTTTTTTTCTGAAAACTCAAATAGGAGGCTAATGTAATTTTTTCTCTTCTGCCTCTGTTTTCTTGTGATAGTCTTGACTTTCAAGGCCTTTTGGAGCCTGTTAAAGTAGAAGAAACAATCTAGCAGTGTACATCCAGGACCTTGTTATTTCAAAAAGATTACTGTTAATGGCTGGAATAAAATATTTCTTGTGGCTACAGACATTCATATTGACTTAAAAAGTATAATAAAGGAAGAGAATATTTAAGATTTTTTTAGATTAAACAAAAATCTTTAGTTGTTTTTTATTGTTGATTTGTCAGGTATTGGGTTTTTTGGTTTGGGTTTTTTTTTTTTGTACACAGGTAAACACTCAAGACTTCAGAGGCATTGTTCGGGAAGATGCTGTTTTATATCTCTTAGAAATTCCCAAAGGTGAAACAGTGACAATTTTGGCTCAAAGCAAATATGAAGGTAGGTGCTTTGAACAAAATGTGTGTATATCCTTGAAGCTTTTAAGCTCTGTTTTTTGTCAGTGAAACCACAAATAATCTGTTATGCTTATGCTGGGTAGCATTTTAGTTATCCTTCTTTTCAGTAGTTTAGAAGATAGCTGTATTCCATACCATAAGGGTCATACAAATGTGCATATGTGATATGTTTTTCAGAGCACTTCTCCATCTTTTTCCTTATTAGCAAATAGCATCTCTTCTTAATCCTGAGGAGTGGCAATGTACTTATTGTTCCTTCTGCTTTGAGAAGTCTGTATCAGTTGGCTCAAGATCTGCTGTTAGCATTCCTGTTCTGCTAAGCCTTGGCAGTCATAAAGAATCCAGTCTTCAGAATTCATAAGTCATAAAGAATTCAGAATTCAGATAGCAGCAAATGGACAGTTTTATTGATGAACAGTTAAGAAGCAAGCAAAGCCTCTTATTTTCCTGTCAGAGACACAACTTGCTGTAATATTAAGTACTGTAGCTGCCTTTTGCTTTGGGAAAAGTTCAAGTGCCTCCTTCCCTCAGAGCTGTAAGGGCTGTACATGTACAAGTATAGAACACCCTTGATAATGTGTGTGTAGGACAATGGATGTGAAGGTTGGGTTTTTTAATCTTTTTGAATGGAGGGGAAGAATTTCAAGACTATTTTCTAGAATGACAGCTTAATCTTTCTTTCAAGTGTAAAAAATTATAAACTAAAGGGGAGTTCCTGTTTTAGTCTACAGAGATATTATGGCCTGTGGCAGAGGAGATTCATTCTTCATCAGGAGCCACTTTGAGTGTGAAAAAGAGTCACCACAGAGCTTAGCATTCACCAGAGGGGAGATCTTTAGAGTAGTTGATACACTGTATGATGGCAAACTGGGAAACTGGCTGGCTGTGAGAATTGGAAATGAACTGGAAAAGGGCCTCATTCCAAACAAAAGCAGGTAAGGTGGCTTCCTGTCTTTCTGCTTGTTGTTACATATAAGATTTTGTATTTTTCCAAATGATTTTTGCTTCCTATATCATACTTTTTTTTTTCCTTACAAGAATGAATAAATTGTTTTGTCTTTACTTTCACAACAATTGTGCGTATAAAACTATAGATTTTAGAACCTTTATGTGAGGAGAGAATAAGCGAGGATGGTGTTTCCTACATACTTGATCAGGTATTTGCAACATAGACCTAGAGCTCCTGTCAGCAATCAACCAAGCTTTGACCACTAGCTGCTTCACTTCCTCTTCTAGAAAATGGATGGAGTGTCCTGGTTTTGCCTTTTTTGTGTCTTTTCCCCCTTCTTGTCCCCCCTATTCACCCTGTCCCCAAACAAATCAAACAAAACACATTAGGAAACTCACAACTCTGTGCAAGAATACTCTGATGATTAATCTTTTAAATAAACTTCAGTGCTTGAATTTCTTTTGTATATCCTTACAGAGAACATTTCAATAATTTACTCCATTTATTTCATATTTCTTGGTAGCTGTAGTCCTTATTTTTATGTGAAACACTGAACCACAGCAATGTTTTTTGTTTAAATATGCTTTCCTAGTCAAAATTCATGTGAGGTAATAATAAGTGTTCAAATGTGCACAATAAGTAAAAGTATTAAAATTCATCAGCAAAAAAATCAGGGTATTTTTAGAGTGTAGCTTTTAAGTTCTTGAGTGTGTTTGTGATTTTAAGATGGAGGGAAAAAGCTCACAGCTGTGTTGTACAGAAGTTCCTAAAATGAGCTGCTTATGTGACTCTCTTGCCTCTTTCCTGGTTTACTACATTCTCTCCTCTCTCTTAATTGATCTGATCAAACCAGCTTTTCTGTGCTGGAGTGACTTAATTTATAAGGCTTAATGGAGAAGAGAATAGTGCCAGTAATTTCTTAGGCCTCTCTTTGGTTCTAAGTTGCACTCTTTCACCACCTCCTTGCAGTTGCATTCTTTTATTTAATGCTTGTGTGAGTTAGTAGTTTCCAACCTGAGAACTCATTTCTGCCCAAGCAATCTTGTAGCTGTGTTGAGTTGGAGCATCATTCTGACACAGTGTTTGCTCCAAGACAGAAGAACCTGGACTCCTCTGATCTCACCTCCACTCATGGCTGTCTGACAAATTACCTGTTGCCAATTCAAAATCCATTGTTCTTCAGTGAAAGCACCTTTACCCTCTGACTAGTTTTGTACAAATGAGCTCTGTGCTTTCTCTGTCAGAGCTGAGCAGATGGCCAGTGTTCAGAATGCCCAAAAAGATGGTTCAAGCGATAGGGCAGACTTCTGGAGAACACGTGGCCAGCGATCTGGGGTGAAGAAAAATCTGAGGAAGAGTCGTGAAGATCTGACAGCTATTGTATCTGTGAGCACAAAATTCCCAGCTTATGAGCGAGTTCAGTTGCGTGAGGGTAAGTGAGACTGCTCTGAGCCAGCTGCCCATGTATTGCTGGCTGGTTTAACATCCAAATGTTTGGTCAGATAAGTAAGTAATTTCTAACAACTTGGGTTCAATGTTAAATTTGAGCAACAGGAAGGGATGGTATTTTTCTGGATGCTACTAAGTACTCTAAGACAAAAAGTTTTTTATGGTTTTAAACAGCTGCTGTTCTGTTTTGCTTCCAAATTACAAGGTTTAAAATGAAAAAATGAAGAAACAAGCAGGAGAAACAAGCAGAAGTTTCTTGTTTTCTCACCTTCCCCTTGGCTAGCTCTGAAAGTACAATCAGTATGCCTGAGATCAATCACAGTCTTTAGCTTGCTCATAAATATCACTTTAACATTACCTTGAGAGCCAGTAAAACCTGAGTATTTTCAACAGATTGTCCAAATGTAATCAAGGTTGATGTGGTCACCCGTTTCCGTGACTTTAAACTAGCTATATTACTAGTCATGTTGAGCAAGTCAAGATAATTTTCTGGGTGTTCACACATGACAGTGCTGTAGGACAAGACAAATAGTAAAAAGTATTTTAAAGGAGCTCCCAGATGTCAAGATGGAGACAGAGCAACAGAATGGTGTTTCCTCATTAACTTGTGAGACCCATATATGCACTTGCTTTAACATAAACATAACAGAATTTTGTATATCTTTGTTTTATCAAGCTGCTGTACAGCTGGGTTAGCACTTGTATCTTTATTCACACAAAATCAGCTAGGTCAAGGTTCAAGCTATTTTGCTGGATGAAAAAATTACTGAAGATCTCCTGTATGTTTTCAGAACGTAGAATCCTCTCAATACATGTTCATTAGGAGGAATAAGGAAGCTGTTAAATTAAAACAATCTCTTTTGCTTTCTCAACTGTTAAAAATAGTTTACTGTATGCATTGCACAAAATTCTGAGAAATAAATTTTTTTAAATATATTTTTTTAATGTCTTCAGCTTACTCTTAAGGTTGGATAGTAATTGAGGATCTTGTCTGTGCCACTTCACTTACATATAAAATCAGTCTTAACAGACTTACTGTTTCTCCAAATATTTTTCTTACAGCTGGTTTTAAGAGACCTGTGGTAATATTTGGCCCTCTTGCAGACGTCGCTATGGAGAAGTTGTCAAATGATTTGCCTCACCTGTACCAGACAGCAAGTAAGTTGTCCTCCTAGCATCCTTATCATCCTTATCTGAAAGAATAGATAACTTAATGATCACAGCTGCCTGGCCACTCTAGATAAGATAAATTGTTGTCTTTGCAGAGACAGAACCCAAAGATGCAGGTTCAGAAAAATCAACTGGGGTAGTGCGCTTGAACACTGTGAGGCAAATCATTGAGCAGGTAGAGTATTTCTCTGTGAAAACTGCTTACACTCAAAAGCATGTTGTTTGATTTGCTTGCTCCTAAAACTTTCAGCATCCTCAAATCTTTATTGCATCTATTTCCGCAATAAGCAGATTTGGCTTAATAACAGGGCTGTTTTGAGATTGTTCAACAATTTTTGTAATTTTTGTAGCTGTCCTCCAAGTGGGAGGGTTAAGCTGATGTTAGAATTTAAATTCTTCTTTCTTAGTTCCTTCTAAATTTGAACGGAGGGACATATGTGTTTTACTGTATGCTTTCTGAATTTGCCATAAAGGCTTTACTCGTCATGCAGTGCTCTACTTGCCCTTACTGTCATCAGAAGCTTAAAGTTTTGGATTGCTTCAGAGTTTCTACTGTTAAACTGAACAGGAAGTGACTATGATAGCTAAGAGGCATCTGCTGAGACTGCATTGACTTTCTATAATACCATTTAGAGATCAAGTAGATAGGTGGTAATCAAGAAGCCTAAAAAACTTAGGTAAAGAGAATGTAGTCTGAAGCATATTGCCCTAAGCCAAATAAAATCAATGTCAGAGAGGTTAGAATGTCACATGGAAGTCCGTTCAGAGCTCAGGCCCCACTGAAGCATGCATCTGAAAATCCCATTCATCTTTCCACTAGAAGTAGCTAAGAAGGAATATTTTAAATCACAGAAGTGAGATTTACCTCAGCTAGTAAGTTTAGATAAAAGCTCACAGATAGCACCCAGAATAGTTGTGGTAAAGGAAGCTGTATTATGGGCATGTAGAGAGAAAAGCTAGTTAACTTTCACTGCCTATTAAAAACAAACGAACAAAGGTGGAATAAGTGCATTTTACTTAACATGAGAGTTAGTTAACGTAAAAATGTGGACATTCAGGCAAAAGCTGTTCAGAAAAATTGAGCTGAAAGAAAAAGGCTGCCTGCTGTGGCTTTTGAATGGGATATAAATGTGAAAAATCCAACGTTATGGTCTTTTTTTGGCAAAAATATTCTGGTTTTCATAGCATACCGTGTTCTAACCACCTGCTTTTTTGTTCCCCACAAACAGCACACTGACTGCACTTTGTTATTAACAGGATAAACATGCTCTGTTGGATGTGACTCCTAAAGCGGTGGACCTGCTAAATTATACTCAGTGGTTTCCAATTGTGGTGTTCTTTAACCCAGACAGTAAGCAGGGTGTGAAAACCATGAGACAAAGGCTATGTTCCACATCTAACAAGAGCTCGAGAAAACTGTATGAGCAAGCAAACAAACTGAAGAAAACTTGTTCCCACCTCTTTACAGGTAAGGTAGAATATGTGTCTAACCTGCTTACCAAGAGAGTAGAGGATGTGACTGAGTCACACGTGTGAGTCTTGAGATAACCACTTAATACTCTGTGTATTAACTCATGCAGACAGGAGCTAAAAGGGTGTGAAGCTGTGTTCATGACAGTCCCTTCCTTGACTTTTTTAAAGTTCCTTGTTCTGCCAAATTCTAATATAAAAGAGGTTGTGAATTAGCATACTGTCATTAAAAGATAAGTGATTTAATAAGCTTGGGGAACGGATAGGCAATAAAATAAAAATACCATGCTTCTGTCCATGATGTAAATGAAATGGCTGGTTTACATTCTCACATAACTAAGACAAAAAGTGTTCAACAGCAAGGACTGGATAAAGGATCGCATTGCATTTGCTGGTATATATACATTTTTTTTCCTTCAATTATTACAGCCACCATCAATTTGAATTCAGCCAATGATAGCTGGTATGGTAGTCTGAAAGATACAATTCAGCAACAGCAAGGAGAAGCTGTATGGGTATCAGAAGGAAAGGTAAGCAGCCAGTCCATACTGTACTAAGCTATACAGATGGTACCTCTTGCCAGTAAAAATTGTCCAAAATTTTGTTTGCCAATGCTGGACAAGTTCGACAGTCAGTTGATGTCATTCTTGATAACAAAAAATTACTTCTTATTGTTCTTTCTGTTAGACTTTGGGAGCTTTCATCACTAATACTGTGGCTAGGGGAGAACAGTGAGGGGGGATAAACTTTTACAGGACTTTCCTTTATGATTCTGCATTAGAGTTTCTTTCAGTTGTGCAATGTCATTCTTAGAGGGTTGTTTGGAATGATGTTGAGACCTAACTAGACTCTATTTCTTATATATTTAATCTTTGTTCCTTAATTCTTCCTGACTTTTCTCTAGATGGATGGCATGGAAGATGATGCAGATGATCGTATGTCTTACCTTACTGCAATGGGTGCTGACTATTTGAGTTGTGACAGTCGGCTAATCAGTGACCTGGAGGATACAGATGGAGAAGGAGGTGCATACACTGACAATGAACTTGATGAGCCCTTGGATGAACCAAGGATTTCATCTGTTAGCCGGTCCTCTGAACCTGTGCATCATGAAGAGGTGAGATGGTTGGATTTTTCAACAAGACTCTACTTTGGACCTTCTGAAAGCCCTGTATATATGGCTTAAAAATTAGGGTTTTTTTAAACTGGACCTTCATCTTACCTCTAATAGTGTTTTAGAGCTATGTTGTGTAGAGTAAAAATAATAATGGCTCTGCTTTTCTGCCTAACTGTAGGTTTCCTGATGATGTCTCTTCACCTTGAACTTTGCGGTTATATCTGCAGTGATTGTGGTCAGGTTGCTGACAGTCATTTGGTGCCTGGTTACTGTTCCCAAAATAGTAAAGAGGGAGAAAAAAATGATTCAATTACTGAATGCTGCAGTGATTTTATCTCTTATTTTCTTTCATAGAGTTTAAAAAAATTTAGTTCCGAACCAAGGGCTCAGTTGAGAAAAGCTGGTAGCAGGGAGATCCTTAGAGAACCAAGTCCACCTCCAGCATTCAAGCCTGAACCACCTAAGGTAAACTTGTAGAAACAAATCTGAATAGAGAGTTCCTTTTTCTGGAGAGCTCTCCAGGGTGGTACATTAAGAAGAGCAGTAGGAATGATCAGAGCCTAGAAAACATTGCAAGTGTGGAAAGAAGGAATGGTTGGAAGGTGTTTCAAGGATCAGGCAGAGCAAAAACTTGAAGGATAACAGTTCTCTTCAAATATGTGTGATCTCTATATGGAATAAGACATTAGACTCTTTTTGTGTCTGCTAACAAATCTAAAGGCACTTTTTTAGCTCAGCAAGAACAAATGAAAGTTAATCATTAGGAAAAGCATATCTGATGGCCATTATTGTGAAGCACAAAACCAGACTCTACCGCCTCTGAAATCGGTCTCCATCACTAGAAATTGATGTTAATTGTTTATTCAAACCTTGCTCAGGAACTATGTAGGGAAAAAAAGTTAGGATGCTTGGAACCCAAATTCTGTTTTAGCAATGCGTGATTGCCCCTGACCCCAGAGTCAGTCCTTTATGAGGATGGGTGCCCTCACATACTGCACATATTCAAAATATATTCAAGTATGCCTTGACAATGGAGGTTGGGCAGAGTAGGACATGTGTAAGGATAAAGATGGAAAACAGACTTGGGTCCTGTGTTGTTCTAGACTCCAGGTAGTGATATTCTACATTAGGTGGTACTAAGAAAATCATTTGGGAGGCCAGTTTTCTCTGTACTGTACCCTAACACACACTATTTCTGATAGGCCCTAACAAGTGGGACAAACATGTCTAAGTGTGCTAGTCTTCTATAGGTTGATGTGTGGTGTATGAACATCTGGCCAAAATGTTGCAGCAGTTCAAATACATTTCCAATGTTACTTCGAATGAATATTGACACTGTTAAATACATAGGCAAAATTTCAGATTTAATTTCAGATTAAAGCTTTTATTTGAAATGAAGATTATGAAGTTGCTGATGTAAACTTCGTATGTTTTATACTTACAGGGAAAGTTACAAAACAAAGAAGATCTATATGACTTTTTCAAGAACTATGACTCCAAATCAAGTAATATTGCTGTCAGTAGTGAGACTTCAACCATATCAGCTAAAGCAGCACCGCCACCTGTTTCAGTGAAACCTGCCTTTGGGCGTCCTGTCCTGAGAAGCTCTCAGCCAGCAGTCCCACCTGCGGAGGAGGAGGAGGAGGCAAAGTTGGAAGAGGAAGGAAGCGAACAAGAAAATACTCCAAAATCTGTATTGAGGAAAGTGAAAATATTTGAGGAGATGGATCATAAGGCAAGGATGCAAAGAATGCAAGAGCTACAAGAGGCCCAGAATGCCAGGGTATGAAGAGATGCATTCTCCCCTTGCTGTGCTTTCCAGCATGTAGAACAGCTTGCATCCTGGAAATTAAAATAATTGCATTGTGTTGTTTCTGGAGGGAGAAGCTTGGGAAACCACACATTCACTGTGTGGATGTGGATGTAAAAAGACATATTTAAAGACTTCATATTGTAACCATAGAAAGCTGATTTCTAATAATCCTGTTGCTTTTGGCAATCCATTGTTTTCATGTGCACTTTGAACTACTATTCTATCAAAAGATTATGTAATTGTAGGAATATAAACCAAAGATCCTTTATCAATTTGTGCTTTAATTGTTTGAGATGTAGCTGTGACCTGTTAGATCTTCAGCCTAGGATCCCTAGTGGATAGACTTGAACAGTTATTTTCTCCTACTTTCTTTTAAAGCTTGAAATAGCCCAGAAGCACCCAGATATTTATGCTGTCCCTGTCAAAACACAGAAGTCAGAACAGAACTGGCCCCAGCCTATGAGGTAAGGTGTAGACAGTTTAAAGCATTCTGTCTTGATTGTTTACTTCACCAGCAGGAGGAAAACTGATCTTGCCAGTTATTTGTACAAATAATCCTGCCTTAGGGTATTGCTTTGCTATTATGCCTGAAAGGTTACTGTAAAGGTGGGCAAAATTTCAGTGAACTCTTCTTGGTTTTCAGGGTACTTTTTTTTTCTTCTAGTTCATTCACAGTGTTTGGGTTACCTAGGAAGAAACACTGAATTATTTGCAGAGCCAGTTTTCTGTCCCTGTCAGTATTACTCAGAAGCTTTTGTGCATTCATGTCCTCTTACGTCCATTACTCCTGTGCTAGATATTTGATGACTGTTAGTTTATTTTAACAAGTAGTTGCTGTTTTAATTACTTAATGACAAATGCTTATTCAGTTACAGATTTATTGTGTGAGTAGGGAAACTGAGGTTGAAACTTGCCTGAGGTCACCCATCAAGTCTCATAATCTCTCATTAAAATTCAGTGAGTTCTGGACTGGTTGACAGTTGTGTTATCTTGCCCTACACACTATATTTCTATTACCTGAGCAGTCACCTATGCAAGGCCTAACACGCTGTGATGGATTTTGTTTACTGATCTGCAGGATCTTTGAGTATTTCTTGCCTTTAAGTAATAGCTAATAGAAATTGGACTTTTTTTTTTTTTTTAGTCAAATCATTTGATGTCATAAAATATAATCTAAAATGCAAAAATGGAAAACATAAAGTGATTATTTTCAAATTTTCTTGGTGGTTCAGAAAGACATGTCGTCTTATATGCCCTTGGAAGCCTTTTAGAAGCAGTGAAAAGTAATTGTTAGCAACATATGCAGAGTGCTTACATACAGAAATCAGTACTGTTGCCTTTTTACAGGAATGTTAATAATTGGCCTAGAGGGAATGTTTAAACACTGGGCCAATATGGAAGGAAGATAACATCTTGGGTTTGTACAGCTGGATTGCAAAACCATGGCTTTTGAAACTCAGGAAATGCCCTTCCTGGGCAGATTTTATTTCTATATATCGGCTTAGTGTCACATTATATACTGTGGTGCTACCCATTTAAAAAGCAACGTGTGGGTTACTTCTGCCCACTTTTTAAGGATAAGAGCCCTAATGAGAGCCTTGAGTGAGGAGAGAAGGCTATCAATTTAAGAAACATCACAAAAGAAGTCTTCAGACTTTGAGACAGGAAACTGAGGATGCAAAAGAAGCAGGTATAGAAATAATCTGATGCAAAAACAATTGAGGAAAATGTCAGCTGGGGTAGCAGCAATGATTGAAAACCTCTCTGCTCCGGGACTAAAGTGCTGTAAAGCTCTTGATGTGGATGGATGGATGGATGTTTAATGATTTTTAAATTCAGCATTCTTCCAGGCAGGTTGAGTAGATCAAATCTGAACATCAGACTCCAGCTTGGTGGAAACAAGATGCCTCTCAGATAGGATTACCATGCCCATGAAATTGTTCATGGGCTAGGAGTTACATTTGATCCATTTGCTATTCTAAACAGTACGTGGCCTTAAAACCACAAGTCAGTGTAATTAATTCCATTCTGAAAAGCTGAAAAATAACCATTATCTCTCTGACTTACTGTGTTAGCTCCAGACCTCCAGAACCCCAGAAACCTCCAATTAAACCTTACCTAGAGAACCATGGCAGTTACGGCAGCGATGCAGAGGAGGAGGAATACCGGCGTCAGCTATCAGACCGCTCTAAGAAGGGCTATTATGGACATCCATCCAGATACAGAGACACAGAACTGTAGGCTTGCTAGTATGCACATGTTTAATGTTCTTTGGAAGTTTCTTCCCTCACAGGGAAAGTGACGCAGTAGTTAGCCTTGAAAAGCTCTGTTTTTATTGGGGGTGGTGTTAGAGAGTACACTACTCAACTTAGACATATCTATACACTCGAACTGGAAGAGTTCATTTTTGGGGATATTATTTTGTTAGCATATAAGAAAAGAAATCACTACTGCCTGAATGCTGTTGCCTGTTTTAATGCGGACCAAATCCTGAAAGTTTGTGTTAATTCTTGGTATTTTCCTGTTGACATAAACCCCCCTTTTCCCCTTTTTATTAATGCTGCCTTTTTGGACTGTTCTGCTGTGTTATGAAATTATGATCGCAGAGATACACTTCTTAATGCAATAGAACTAAATTTGAAAGTGTATTTGAAGACAGTAAGTGCCTTTAACAAGAAGCATCTTAAACTGATTTGACATCTCGTACTTGGTGAAAAGCCATAACACGCTAAAAGGGGATTGACTCTTTTACCTATCTTTTTTTTTTTCACTTCCATGGTAATAATTTCCCTTTCATGTTCTAAGTTCATAGATGCATATGCAATATTTCATAAATACTGACTGTACGTAATAAAGGTGCAATTAACTGGCATGTTTGAAAAGAGGGGGATGTGCTTAAGCAGATAAAATGATGTAGAAATTCCATCATGTATTAAAATTTAAAATAATAAAGAATGCACTCTAGGCAAATTTGTGTATCATATTTTTCTTTTGAACAGTATAGTTTTCTAGAGTTTCTGACTTTCAATAGTACACTTACAGCAGCACAATGTTCAGGTAAGAGACTCATCTCCTGCTGTTCTGGTAGCTGGGAAATATCACCGTTGAAGTTGGTTCCTAGTGTTCTGAACATTGTTTTTAAAAAAGTTGTGATTTAAAAGAAAACTGATGCAGAACTATGGGCTTCCTGCAAAAGAATTATCTTTCATAATATTAACTTCTGCCTTCCCATTCCTCTTTTTTATCCTTAAATCTGCTATACAGGAAAAAATCCTTGAAAGGGTTGATATTTGCTAATGTGATGGGAAAAACGAATTTCTAATGCTCTCTTAAAATGAGAAAGGTGGAATTTTCTAGGTAGAGCAAAGGAATAGATGCATTTCCCATGAGGAAACCCATGCCACTCACCACTGATTAGAATCATAGAACAGAATCATTTAGGTTGGAAAAGACCCTTAAGATCATCAGGTCCAACCATTAACCTAAGGAGGCATCGAGGGGTGAGGAGGAGAGGCTGCCTGTCACCCCATGATAAGGCAGAGTCAGCATGTCCAGGAAAAAATCCCTCTGTGTTACACAGAGGCACCGTTCTGCCTCTGTCAGGAAAGGGAGTCCTTAGCTTCCATTCAGACTGTTCATTGAACAGTACTGGTCTCAGTATTCAGCCTCGGGACAAACCATCATTGCGTAGCCTCTAGCTGGACATGGATCACAACTTTCTGGGCTCTGTTGTTCATTTTTCAGTAAACTTTTCTGTACGCTTATCTAAGTCATAGTTTTACCTCTTTTCTATGAGGATGTTACAGGAGAGAGTGTCAAAAGCCTCACTAAAGTTGAGGTACACAACATCCACCTTCGGGTCCGCTGTCCCCTCAGACAGCAATCAAGTCACCTCATTGTAGAAGGCTATCACGTTGGTTAAGCAAGTTTATGCCCTTCCTAAATCAGAGTGATGACTCCTGTTCACCTTCCTGTCCTGCATGTGTTTAGGAATGGTTTCCAGGGTTAGTTGCTCCATCACCTTCCCAGGGAC